CCATTGATTTGCATACAAATACGAGATTAAAATCTTACTCTAAGATTGTTGATTTCGCTGAATACTAGTCCTAAAGGCTTCAATTGAATTGTTTATTATCAAATAATACTAGAATAATTGAAAATAAAAGAGAAGCTCCCTCAATTGTATTACTCAAAAAACTGATTAGCCCTAAGACTTACATACATTTATATAATAGTAGAAACCATAAACAAACTAGGAAACAAAAATCCTAAATAATTAGGAAACCGAATAAAAAAAATCCTAATAGAATTAGAAAATAAAATAAACCTTTCAAAATTTTCTAACTAAACAACATTGATCACGTTCAAATAAAATTTCAAATATCAAATCCCGCATGACATTAGAAACCAAAGTCTGCCAATGTGCAGTCCTCTAGGAATACTGTTTTTCTCCAGCATTGGAAGAACTCAGTGTCTATTGCTTGCTCTACTAATGCTCCATCATAAATGCCCTGAATTGCTTTAAGTTCTGTCATATTATAGAACTACTAGCAATTTAGGTGCTTGGTTTCCTTTTTTGGTGATTTTTTCAGCCTTTTTTTTTTATAACAAATTAGGAATCTTACATGAATATTTTCAAAGATGAATAAATGATTTACTTTTATAAAAAAAAAATATGAATTTGCAACTGACTATATCATATGCTTTTAGCATATCTTTATGGTAGTTCCTCATAAGTTCTTGGATAAGTCTCTTCAATTTTACACATAATTTGAATTGATAAATGTTAGTTGTTTATTCTAAGATCAATCATATATAGATGATGTTTTGGGGTTGTACTAGCAACATTCATTACTTAATGAAATAAAAGAGCAAACTTATTTATCATGTTACTGGCTAATTCCTTGTTAATATACATGATATAATCCATAGAGTATAAATTAAGAAGATAGTTTCTCAAAAAGTTGAGAAGAGGAGACATATACTTTTTAGTATTTAACTCTTAAATGTTTCTAGTCATAAGATTACTATGTGGACACATGTAATCCGAATAGACTGACACACATTATGTTTATTCATATTTGATACGAGATAATTCATCCAAGTCACTAGTGAAGGGACATTGAAGTAGATGTGTAGGTTCTTGTTAGAGAACAAGTACACTGAACATGACCATGAACTAATGTAGGATTTTTTACATGGAGTTTTACATACTTGTCAATGTTAAATTCTAAAATTATAGTTATGTAACTGATCCTTAGACTGACACCATGGTTATCTTGTGCATGAATTTCTATACTTTAACTATACAATATATTCATTTACTAACTGTGTAACTTGGATATGTACTGTTGGATGTAGTTAGACATGCATGGAGATTTATGAGTGTACAATATGAAATCTATCACCCTTGGTAAATAAAAGGAGAATGTCCTATGTGATATTCTAGTATATGATTTAAGGAGTCCTGGACCAAGGCAGAACGACAATTAAAAAAGGGTTTTTAATTGATCATTAAGAGTAATAGTCCTAAGATTGAATATATAAAATTGAGTTAAGGGTTTGACAGTTATTTCATAAATTGAATGAGTTTTTTACCTACTTCATGCTATTCGGAGGTTAATCACGACATACTGTTAGATGTCACTCATGATTACTAAAAGTTCAAAGAGTGAAATTAATATAAATATATTAATTTTTCTTCATAAAGAGAGAATTAGAAGAGTTTTAATTCAAGCTAAATTAGAAAGAGTTATAATTTGAGATAGTACTTAGTTAGTATCGAATGCCTACTACCAGGTTTGATTGAACCTATAAGGTCACAACAATATAATTGATTGAAAACTAAAAAATAAAGGAGAGAAAACCAATTAAGAGTTAATTGAGGTAAAAACCTAATTTAGAGTTAATTAGGGACTTTATTACAATTAATGGTTAATAAATGAGTTATATGTAATTATGAGATAATGACAATTTGACACAAACTAGGATTATAGTCTTTAAAGCTCTATAAATACCTTCATATAAGAGGAAGATATATGATATAAGTTCAAGGACCCTAATTTTGTTACCAATCTTATCCTACAGACTATTTGGAGTAGATTGGCTTCCCTCAAATTTAAGCCCTCCTATAGAAATCTCCATACTATTCAGTACTGGAGTCTTCCAACTAGTTGCCATTCCTGGTGACACTCCCTGTGGCTAGGTGGAATTTGTCTGGTTGTGGTCACTGTCTACTGCTACAAATGCACTGCTCTATTGGGGTTCCATGGGTTTCTTGTTTTGATTTCTATTATCTATGATGATTTCTACTGGTGATCACCGCTGGATTTGTTGGTTTTCTTTCTGACCTCATATTGGTTGATGTTGATGTAAATTTACACATGTTGCTTTAGACCCTCATGTTGTTCCTGGTCTAAGGTTGCTGGTTTTCATATTTGGATTGTGGACTTTCTTTATATTGGTGGGTGGTGATGTTCTCTACATATGCTGCTTATGATCCTCATGCTACTGCTGTTTTCTTTTTTCTTTGGGTGACTTGTATTTGTTCAGACATTTCAGGAAATAGTTTCTTTCATTCAATGTGGTTCATACATCAATGTCTACATTTGTTTTCAGATCTGGTTCTCTGTGGCTATCTCTGATTGCCCTGTGGACTATGGTTCTACTGCTTCTGTTTTCTGCTAGGATTTCTCTTGCACCTGTGGTGGTCCTTCAAGGCGGAGTTGCTGTATCAAACTCAACATTCTCATGGGAAGGCATGGGATTACCTTCCCTGGGCTATCCTCCTCATTTTTCTTAGTGACTTTTGGTCTTCACTGATCGTCTTTCCTTACTTCTATTTCTTCCCTCTTGCGCTTCATGGTGGTTTCTGTTGGCTTTTGCCTGCTAATGTGTTGCTTTATAGATGGAGGATGACTCTTCTTATTCCTAGTTCTCTGCATCTGACGCTTGGTTGGAGGACTGGTTCATGCACTTATTTCCTTGTTGCTCCCCGATGCTACAGCTTTGCCCCTTTAGCTTTGGTGACTGTTTGTTGGTACTGACGGCTCATGTTGTGGTACTGATGTTGGTGCATTGATGTGTGTTGTTGGTGCCTCTCCTGCTTGCCTCTCCCCTGTTGCTGGGGTAGGAATTGTTCTGTGCAGATATGGATCCAGTCTGAAACCGAACAGTCTCTCCTGTTTGTCTAGTTTGTTACATTATTCTCTTGTTTGCAATTCTGTGGGTGATACCCTACTCACTTACAGGGCATCCCTTACAGAATTGTGTTCACCATGTATTTATTTTTGGTCTTTGAGTCCTATGCGACTTCACTGTTCTTTTGTGGGTGATTACCCTGTATATTTGGTTTCATGAATACATTTTACTTTTCCAGAAAAAAAAAAAAAAAAAAACTATTTTGTTAGCACAAGAAGAATCACCCCTCATTCTCTCTCTCTACTAGTTTATAATTGGTTGAGGTAGATCCTTCAAGTTTGCCAGTTCGTGTGGGTACCAATAGAGGTCAAACATTTGCGATGCTTGGAGTAAAGATCAAATTCAGATTTAAAGATTCAAAATTTTTGAGAAAGTTTGAAAGTTGTTAAAAATAGGTTTCAAAGGTAACTCTTAATTTTTACTATAAATTTAAGGTTTCTTGATTTATATTAAACATGAATAGATTTTTCTCAAATTACTTTTTTTTTTAAAATTTCGATGGGTTCGTTATATGATTTCTTTTGATAAGAAGGTTGATACCTTTTCCCCAATACTTGAGCCATTATACTACGAAAATCTTCTCTGTCAACGAGTGCTAATCATTGATGATCATGAATGAAGTCTTCAAGTGGAGGTGTGACATGATGGTATTGATGACCGTTTAAGAATTTTGATGGACTCTTCTAATAGCTTTAAAAAGAAAAAAAAGAATCAAGAAGTAAGGGCATTTCTGTTTGGGGTACTTGGAAACCTCCTTGCACTTGCACCCGTCACGGAATCAGTCTCCTTTTGTTCTATTCAATTGGCTCGCTCATATGTTAGCTAGCTTGATTGTTTTTGATTGTTTCAATATATCATGTACATCATGTTTTTTTACAGAGAAATGACACCAATTTACCTTCCGAAAAGAAAGAAAGAGTGAGGTTTAACATGCTATTAATTTAGTATGATAGGCCTCGTGTTAGACCATTAAAAGGGAAAGGAAAGAAATTGAGCAGTAACTTTACTATAAATTATGCACACACACACATCTGACAAAAATGTTCCTTGGACTTAATTCATTCACCTACCTAACTCATTAGTGGTTAGCTTTAATAATGAATGAGATTAATTATCAATTTAAATATAATAGTTAACAAATTATTTAGATAGATAAACAAATTAGGTTTGAATATTATTTTGTCCAATATCAATGTATATAATAATGGTAAAATTTCCTCCCCCTCGTCCGCTGTGTGGTGTAGCACGGATAGTGAAAGGGAGTGGTCGCATTTACTTCATTATGATGGCAATAATCATCAACATGAACTGGCTTGATAATGCTGTCATTCTCTCCCTTCTTTATGAAACCTTAACTCTTGGATAATATCTGACGATTAGTAACCACTGTCCTTGCTTCCGAACCCGGTTCTCTACGAGCCTGCCATTTGAACCGGTTACACCTCTGTATCTTTCCTTCCCCCCGGTCCAGCAATTCCTGCCGGCCGTGGGCACTACTGAACCCACTTTTTTTTTTTATATTGCCTTCCCTAGTCAGCTCTGTTTACCACTTTGGATCCTATCCCTCCTTTTTCTTGTCCCCTTCTCTCTCTATCTCCACAACTTTCTCTATCTACGTCTACAATATTTCTGTATTTATATGTACACAGGTGCTACTGTTGTATACATAGGCCATCTTTGAAGCAAGGGTGGGACTTGAGAGGGGGAGAGAGAGAGAGAGAGAATAAAAGCCTTTCTCCGCTTAGTGTTATTTGCTTTCTCCATTGTTCTTTCAGCAGAGGTGTTTTCTTCTACTTCTTCTTCTTGGGTTTTTGGAGCTTCAATTTCTTGATAGGCATGTCGAGCAGCATCGAGGTTGCTTCTGAGCAACTCTGCTACATCCCTTGTAGCTTTTGCAATATTGTTCTTGCGGTATCTGATCTCTGAACTCCTCTTAGTGGGCTTTGCTTTTCAAATCCTATCAGAAATTGTGTGTGCGCGCGCGTGTATTTGTGTTTTCTTTCTCATGGTTATCATGCTTGTGAGAATAAAGAGCATTTTACACCCTGAATAAAGCTGATCTTGGCTTCTGAGATCAGGTTATTTGGTGCTATTATTCTGAAAATCCAGTAATTTTCTTTCTTCGATTCTTGTTTTTGGCGCAGTCAGGTCTCCATCGCTAGACTTTTCCTTTTCTTCTTTCTTTTGCAGTCAAAGAAAAGTCATACCTGAAGTGCTACTAATGACCACAATAGAGAGAGAGAGATTACTTTGTTGTTTTTGTATATTTGAGAGGGTGAGGGTCATCTAACGTCAAAACAAGCTTTAGATGATAAACTTGATGAGGACAAGTCCTTCACTCTCAAATTTCCTTTATATTTTCTATATCTCTACTGAAAAAAGAAATGCACCGCAGCTAAGTGGAGAGTGCTATCAAAACCATGCCTTTGTAGCTCATCAGTTAAAGAAATCAAAGATCTCTGTTGGTGGAATCTTCCAGCCAACGATACTAAAATTTTCTCTTCCACAATAAAATTTTAGGGTTTTGCTTATAGGCTTCTACCTACCCCATTTTAATCTAAGATTAACACAAGAGGTTTTTTGGTAGAGAGAGATCCAAGTTTCAAATATGTTTCTTGTAATCTTGCTCTGTTTGATCACTGATTTTTGACTTGGTACTATTTCAGGTGAGTGTCCCATGCACCAGCTTGTTTGACATTGTGACCGTCCGATGCGGGCACTGCACAAATCTATGGTCTGTGAACATGGCAGCTGCGTTTCAGTCTATGTCCTGGCAACAGGTCATCTTCAAAAAAAATAAAAACATTGCAGCTTAATTTGTGGGCGATCACGGGCTTCTGAAATCTAGGGTTTCTCAGAATTTTGCTTCTTTTTAGGGAATCAATGTCTTCTGCATATATAACACACCCAGATCTACTCTTTCAAAGCTATTCTCTCTCATCTGTGAAGCCTAAGAGCCGCCATAACCAAAACCTACGTTTTCACTTATTTGTAGAGTTATTTTACGACCAGCATAGGCGTCAGGGCCAGTCCTGAAGCATCAATGGAAAGTGAAGCATTTGTGGGGTTTTATTTTATTTTATTTTTACTTTTAGGCTTCCTTTTTTATCTTGATTTGATTGACATGTATGTGTGGATGAAGTTGTTATATTTTTTTCATGATTTCTTTTCATCGGGGCTTGTCTTCTACTGTAGAAACATTCTCAAAAACTTCGTTTTTGGTTCTCCAAGATCCCCTCTTGATTTCTCTCTCTCTCCCTCTTTCTCTCTGGGCATGACCCCTCTAGATCTCAACAACTGTCAATCTGGGCTCTTTGTTATTCTGAACCGATTCAGACACTTCAATGTTGGTATGTTTTTACATAAAACATCATTTCAAGTCATTCAGTCCCATCTTCTCTCTCCCCACCACTTCTCTCTATTGTCAACACCTCACAGGTAGATCAATTATATAGTTGCATAACCTCCCTCTTTTGTTTCTCCCCCTTTTTTCTTTAATTTTGCTGACATTAATACAAGAAACCCCCTCAACTTGTGATCTCCACTTGCTAGATTAATGACTTATTTCATACTAAACTTATCATAATCCCTCTTATTTTGTTGCTTTCTTTTCTCTATTTCATTTCGACTTTCAGGCACCAAACTATGCTGCCCCTGATTATAGGATTGACATGGGGTCATCCTCCAAATGCAACAAGAAAATGGCAATGCGACCACCCACCATGAATACCACTGAGGAAAGGACTGTGAATCGACGTCAGTTATCAATTACCCTCAATTCATATGGACTGATAGCATTAATATTTCATCTTCTTTTTCTTTGCTTTCTTCAATCATATAGATATATAAATATATATTTGTATATATCTAGGAATTTGATTAATAAATGCATACTATATATAATATAAAGTATTCATGTGTGTCATTATTTCTTTTTCAGCTCCCGAGAAGAGGCAGCGAGTACCTTCTGCATATAACCAGTTCATAAAGTAGTGGAACTGCTATCACTTATTAGCAATCTCTTGAATATCTCTTTTATCTTTTATCATATATAAACCTTGGAGCAATAACTCTCTTCCTTTAATAATTTCTGAAACCAAAATGTGTATGTGCAGGGAAGAGATTCAAAGGATCAAGGCCAATAATCCAGATATCAGCCATAGGGAAGCTTTCAGTACTGCTGCAAAAAATGTAAGTGGAGGTGGTAGCAAATTTGGACACTTTTTTTGGCTTGCATGATAGAATTTTTTTTGGGGGTGATGACTTGTGGACTTTCTTTCTTGGCTATAGTGGGCACATTTCCCTCATATTCATTTTGGGCTAATGCTGGAGAGCAACAATCAAGCTAACTTTGATGAGGTGAGTTTGTTTCAATGGAAAACAAGATTGTTAATTTATTTGTTGTTGATCGGAAAAAATCGATTTCAGTGATAAATAATTGGGTATATATTATAGTTCAAGACATGTTCACTGGATCCTTGAGTTATACTTCTCAAGATAGGTACTCACGAAACAAACTAACGAATTTCGAAGAGAATACTCTCATAAACTAAAACACTAGGCAACTACCCCTCACACAACGCAAGAGGCTAGAATACATATGCCTTTTTTAAAAGTATACGGTGCAAATTATTTTGTGTCAAAAAGGTGAATTAACATTCACATTTTTCTCCATATTAATGCCACATGTTAGGGCATTACATAAGGGAAATTTGTGATGCCCATTCAGAGAAAGGTGGTTCCTTATGTACAATTGCACCTGCTTTTGAATATTTCAATTACAAAATCAAGATATCCAACAATTAGAAATTGCCCAATTCCTCATTCTTAGATATGTAGTATGCTCTTTAAGTTCAAGTATCCAACCCATAGGGAGGAGTAAAGAGTCTCACAAGGATCATCTAGTAATTCAGAAAGCGTAATTATCCTGAAGTGGGTCAAACTCTGACATTTAAACCCCCTGAGTATAAAGGTTTCTTGTGCAAATAATTTTTTTCTAAAACAAATCTTAGGTTTATCATCATACACATGATGTAGAATAGTGCTTGATTTTTGGAAAATAACAAACTGTTGCAGACAATCATAAAAGAAAAATAGTGGGTTAATTTGATACATGGTAAAGATACAAATATTTAGTACGACACTTCTTTCAATACGAGATATGATAGATATAGGCTTAGTTGGCACACTATTTTGTGTCGTGATTCATTTGTACCTTTTTGTATAGAATAATACGTCCATATACACATAGTCAATAAATATTTATTTTATATTATGCAAGTATTGTCAAAATATGAGTTGAAATAATACAAAATTAAAGAAATAACAAGTTAAGATTACAATTTGGGATTGGGGTTATAATTTAAGACTACTTAGGTTAGGTCATGAATCAATTTGTGGTATGAGTCATAGTTTGGGGTCGAGTCTTTGAGTAAGCTGGATGTGAATCCACACCGTTTTGGGTTGTGCAACCCGACTCGTGGAACATTAAGGATATCTACGATGCCAATATCTATCGGATCATATTGATTTTAGTCTGATCTTGTTGCTGGTTCTAAGTCCATTTGTGCTTCTATTTTCCAAAGTACAGTGAGATTCTGTTTGCTGTACTTTTTGTTCAACTGTTTGAATACACTTAAGCAGAAAAAAAATATATATATATAATGATGTCTGTGAGTTCAATCAACAACACAACATCAAGTATTTGCAGCCACTAAGTTATTGGAATAATTGCTCTCTCTCTCTCTCTCTCTCTCAGAGCATAGTTATTGAAATTTGACCTTTTTTTCTGCAGGGCTCTGGGAAGCGTCTCATGTCAAGGGCTGCACTATTGAACAAATGAGAATCCTGATATTCCAGAACACCAAAAGTCATTTCCAAGCTAGCCTTGAAAGTAATATGTTCTAAAGACATAAACTCAATCCTTTTTTTTTCTGATGTATTTGTCACAAGTTGTGTGGAAGATTCTATTTATGTCAAGCAGAAGTAAGGTACCTTCTTTCATTTTCTTCATTAATCAGTGTTCTTCATTCTTTCCTTCTAAAGCTAACTAGCAAACAAGAAGCTAATTGAAGTCCTAAGCCTTGAGAAATACTTGGCAATCATGCATGCATTATGCTGTGTGTGCGAAGTGTCCAATAAGTGTAGGCTTTGAACCTTAATTGTAAGATGTGCCTTAAAGATGTGCAGACCTAACTAAAAGCGGCGGGATATATTGATTAATGAAATAGTCATGTCTGCAGTGGCAACCATATGAAATATCTTCTTTATCTACGACCCTTAATCCCTTCAATCTACCATGGCTCTCAAAATTGTGTATACATGCAGTTGTGTGTACATATAAGGGGTTTTCTAAGAGGGGATGTTGTTGATCGGATAAATTTTGTTGCATATTTCAGCTTTCGTTCCTCCAAGACCTTACAATAGCGGGAGTCTTGTGAATTGAGCTATTTTCTTCTTTTTTTTTTCTGTTTTTTATTTTTATTTTTTTTGGTTTCAAGGCTGTTGGCGCATACACAAGAAAACCCAGGATGAATTTTATCCTATTAACTGAACTGTCAATTTTTACACACTAGTTTTTATTTTTATGTCAGTAAATTAGATCAAATTTTTAAGTCAAAATAGTATTACTCTTTACTTAGAGCTTGCCCTAAACTGGATGTTCATCAACTTGTTACCACAAAAAAGAACAAAGTTATTCATCAGTAGAAAGCATCATTATGTAGTTTAGCTTACCAACAAGACTAGCTTAGCCAAGTGGTGTGTCTAATTGATCTTTTTGACATGAAAGTTATGGTAGTGGTCTAGTATAACAAATACTTTGATGCAAACCCTTTTTTTGTGGAAGTAGTGAAGATAGGATCAAAATGCCGTCAGTAGGTTTTTCCTCAATTTTTCTTAATTTAGATCACTTGTTGTGTATTAATGAGGCAATGCTATTAGAATGTATTTAGGAACCCAATCCTTTGTTATTATTGGATTAATTATAGAGCTCAACATTGAATGAGATTCAAGGCTAATCCAACCGCAACAATCATTACATACTCAAATTAGATTTTTAAATCAAGTACAAAAATGGTACTATTGTCATATGAATATAGTAGATCTCACTTGAATTCAATTACATTCCATCAAAACAAGCTGAAATAAACTATATTAGAGAAAATTTAAATCTACAAAGATGTGCACTACTTAATTTAGTAGGAATTTCCTTTCTTGAGTTCAATCTCTCTACTCGCCGCCCCTTATCTAGAAACCATGCTCCTTTCTTTCTTTCCTTCGAAAAATTAAAACCCAAAGAAGAAGATGAAAGTTATAAAAATCAAACAAACAGACCCACCAGTTTGCAACACTAAGAGCATAAACTAGTAAACTTGGACTAAAGCCTTATATCGAAGATTGTTAATCTCTAAGTAAACAAAATTTGCCAAAGTATGCTAAAAAATGTCTTTAGGTGTTTGAAGTGTCAGACTTTTTCCAAAGAAGGAGATGTCACAGAAAAGGCTTTACATCATGTTCCATATCAACTTCCTTAATGGTCTTGTCAATGGTACATTATAACCCAATCTATAAGTCCATACCATATTTAGTATGTGTAGTTCCTACTGTTAAGAAATATAGGGTTACTGATTATTTTGTTTATTAAGGGTAGAATAGTCATTTACTTTCTCGTTATTTAGTTTATATATAATCTCTTTGTATTTAAGTTAAATTACTTCTTTATATTCAATTGAATTATACAGTATCAATATAAACTCTAGCCTCCTCTTTTCTTATCTCTTTTATTATATTGTTTAACATGGTATCAGAGCAAAGTTTCATAGGACTAGCTTAATCTCAAACACAGCTTACGCGGATCTATAGGTACACAGTTGGCAAAGTATGAGACAACAAATGAAGTTTGGGATCATCTGCAAAGGTTATTCACTTAATCAAATTTTGTAAAATAGTATCGATTGAAGAATGACATACAAGCTCTTCAGCAGAAGAATATGAATATTTAGGAGTTTTATTCTGCTATGACAAATCTTTGGGATTAATTGGCTTTTACAGAATTGACCGAATTAAAGGCATGTGGTGCCTATATTGCTCGTAGAGAGCAGCAACGATTGGTACAGTTTTTAACGGCACTTTGTAGTGATTTTGAAAGACTTCGAGGTTCAATTTTGCATCGTTCTCCACTTCCTTCCGTTGACTCAGTTGCAATGAGTTATTGGCTGAAGAAATATGTCTTAAGTCTTATTTTGAAAAGGGAATTCTTTCTACTTCTAATCCTTCTGTGTTAGTAGTACCTTCTAAACTATTCTTGAATAATTAGAATAAGCCTTACACAAGAACTGCCTTCGACGAGTGCAGTTTTTGTAAGCATAAAGGTTATTGGAAGGCTTAATGTCCTAAATTAAGACAGTAGAATCAATCGCAACAACAATCTCAAGCTTGGAAGCTTGGCAACCAGTCACAATATAATGCTCATAGACCACCTCAGGGTTACAAACCACTACAGTCTAATACTGCAGCAGTGGCTTCATCAAGTCCTTTCACTGATTATAGTACTTTGGTTGAGCAATTTTAGAAGTTTCTCTCCTCACAGCCACAAGCTATGTCTGCTTCTTCTTCCGTAGGTCAATTGCCTCATAGTTCTTCAGGTATATCACATTCTGTATGGGTCTTGGATTTTGGTACTTCACATCATATGTCTCCAAATTCTTCATCTTTTGTTTATATATCTCATTCATCTTTTATTCCTGTTATGACTGCTGATGACACTCCTATACCTTTAGCAGGTGTTGGTTCTGTTGTTACACCTCACTCGTCTCTCCCTAATGTTTATCATATTTCGAACCTCACATTAAATCTTGTTTTTGTTAGTCAATTATGTGATTCTGGTAATTTAGTCACATTTTCCTTTTCTTTTTGTTATGTGCAAGATTTGCAGTCTCAAAAGCTGATTGAGACAAACTGTAGGAAGGAGGGACTATATATTTTGGAA